TAAGTCCTGGCTTTTAGCGCAGAGTGAAATCTTTAATTGCGTCAGATTTTTATGGTGAAGAATATACGCTGAATGCTGTAGTCGCCTGGGTGGCACATATACTAAATAAGAACGATGCTGAGAATATAAGTTTGGCATCGGCGCATCAATAGGCCCTAAAATCGTGAAATGCTTTGTACTTTTATGGCTGCCTAATGACGTCTAATAAGCCAGAAACGGCCACTCCAGGTCTGTCTTGTCCATTTTGGTAGTACCCTGGGCGCTTTGCGACTGTCCATTGGGCTCCAGACCGAGTCCTTAAGCATAGTAGGTCAAGTAGGTCCTGTAGCAGGATTGGTAAGCGCATTCTACCAAAGTTAACATTCTAGATCGCAACTGACAGGATAACGAACTCGTGGCTTAGCAGTGAGAGCACTCAAATTCTAATCAATAGACTGAGCCACAGGGGTTGCAAACCTGGTGTTGAGTGCGGTTGACTGTTGACAGCTAATAAGCAATAAATGCCTATTTCAATCTATCGGATCTTCGTCAGTAGTACATGTCAGCATACCTCGAACACAAAGTCTGCGAACGCAACAGAATCCTTTGCATCCACACCACTTTAAAGAATATCAAACTGCGCTGCAGTGGCGGTCTCGCAAAGGCAGATGACAACCACCTTTTATTATATTTGTCGCTTGGCAACGATATCGGCATCAACAAAGCTACAAGGACACCCTGAGGCACTTTCTCAAGCATTTGCAAATCAACCGGAAACATGGGAGGACATCATTCAAGATTGACTGGTCTGTTGAAGAGAGCAATTAAGACGGCCGCTGTTAAAGCTAAAAGAACCACTCACAAGTCCCAAGCGCCTCGGACACAACGGACATATTATACCTACGTCAACATACGCAGAATGTCAAAGAAAATTGCGCGCATGGATCGGTCTCTTCAGACATCATAGGAACCAGTGCGATAACAGCCCGACAACAACTGTTGCCAACAGAAATGCCCTTTATCATCATCTCTGCACCAAATCTCACAGCGTCCACATTGGTGACCATCAACAGTACGAACACTCCCGACGCCAACTCAACCAGGACCGCCGCCGCCACTAGCTATGTGGACTCAATCCCACCTTGCCAAATTGTGGTGGCATCTTTATATCATAGATCAGTCCGGTCGGTCACTTGCGAATCTATCGAACTGAGACTGGCAAACCAGTGGCAGGAGCCCGCCTCAATTATTAACACTGCTGACGTACATTCATGCACCGCATGCCTCTCCTTGGCCATAGTTACATTAATGAAAACCCGTGATCATACACCACCAATGAAGCTATACCACCACACCTCCTCACCTCCTCCACACAAAATCATCTCATATCGCCCACCACAAGCAAGGAATCTCACGTATGTCGGAAGCGTTTTCTTGGGCTCCCCATTTGTAATCAGGGCAAAATAATGAACGTTAGATCCAAACAGCCCAGCTGCTTCATGCGAACAAATGGCATGTGTGTCACAGGTAGACGTGCTGTCTAATTATCGCAGCCACTGCAGCCAATCTTGCATCAGTTTAATTCGACTCAGGCATGAGAATGGAATAGAAAAGAGGTCAACTCTTAACGCATATTTATAATTTTGAACACTCTGATGCAC